GGCATTTTTTATTGCGACCAAAGATCAATGAACAACAATATACACTCTTAGAAACTGAGGAAGTGTGACTAAAAGGTTGTACTTGGAGGGAACAAATATTGAATGTTTGGATTTTGTTACAGTAATTGGACTTTTCTCAAATAATCATCCAGCAAAAACTCAGCTCAAAAAATGGACAGTTTCACATGAGAAAAAAAGTTACAGTGAACCTCAAAGGGCCATTTCACACTTCCAGACCTGTTTTCAACATCACCAATATGTGCCCATGTGTGGAAGAACTTGAAGGGGCCAAATATGCAAAACTGTGATACATGCACCAGGGAACTGGGGCCAGTCACGGCCTCTGAATGTGTGTCGACCTTGCGGCCTCAAGTGTGTGCATGCACACACGTGCATCTCCCCTTCAAATGTGGTTGTCAGCATGAGACACATAAACTGGAAATAGATTTGCAATGTCAAAAGTGTGATGTAGGTCTGTGTGCTTCCTTTTTCTGTGTTAGCAATTGGCTAAGACCCTTTTGTTTGAAATCCTCTTCCATTCTGCCTTTGAAATGATCCCATGGGCCATAGTAGATGCTTGACGACAACACTAACACAAGGCTGATTTAACTGGATCAGTTAGGAGTTTTTTGAAAAGTACTGCAAGGGTTTATTCTCTTCCAAAAACCCTCCACACATTGACCATCTTGGGAAGACTGCATAAATACGAAGTAACTGAAAACATTACAGGCACAATGCACTGCTTGTATGTCTGTCCTTCTTCCAGTTGACCATAGTGTTAAAATTCTTCATTTATTAGTTACTATGTGCATAGGATTCAATATCAAACCATTAGTGCTACTGCCTTATTTCTTACTTTGAGAATGTACTCACATAAAGATCAGCTGGTAACCTTAAGTGTTGGGCAAATTTTGAAGATGCCTTGCAGGATTAATTATGTAATTTTAGGGTATTCATTACACAAGAGATTAGTTCAGTTTTAACAGCTGCAAATCACATCCTTATCACTCTCCAAATAAAACCATTGTAGTTGGAAAAAACCATATGGTAGAAGTTTGTATTTAGCATTTATTTTTGCATGTTGATGTTGATTAGCTAATAAAGACTGTAAACACAAACCCTTTTATAATCATTGTTTCTTTTCCTTAGTTGACAGTGGAATGTTAATTTGTTCTTGAAACTATGAATTGGTGCGGGGAGTTAACCTTCACTACTAAAATGGTCACATTACAGATATTTTACCTAATACTGGTGACAACTCAGTATTTTCTGGATACTTGTCTGATTATTGGATTATACAGATACTGTATTTCTGAAAACTGAACAGCTATCAATAAGTAAAGGGACAGGATGTTGTGCTCATCTCTTCTAAGCACTTGATCCGTACACCTTCAAAATTCTGGGAAGGGTGAGGAATTGGCTAGGAGATACATTTAGATGTGGAATTGGGATACTCACATGATCACAAAATTAAATACAGAATCTCTGTTTCTAAGTGAAAGACTAATGTAGGGAGACTTGATTTTCTAATTATCACAGACAAGCAGTGAATTAAACAAATAGAACACACTTGATGCAGCTTTGATTTTTAGCTTTAATATTTGGCTGCAACTTGTGATTTGTCTCAAGTCAGACAAGCCACAAGCCCAGATCTGAATGTAACCCTAAGCCAGAAAACACTCATGAAGAATGGCTGAGTTAAACAGTTTTGAAATTTATTGCATTCAAAGGTCCAAATCTTGTGTTTACAAATGCTGGTCACCCAAAACTTAGCTGAAATCTTTCTTTTTGGCAGTTCAGATGGTTGAAGTCACAGGTATTGCAAAGCTATGCATTTGGCTGTTTTGGAGAAAATTCATTATTTCAACACTTTTAAAGTTCCATTTTAAACCTGTTAATTAAAAACAAGGAGCTCAACTGGTGTTTGTTTGCAGTGAAGCATCTCTGATAAACACTGTTTCCCCACAGGGGAAACAACATTTGCTGCTGGAGGGAATAGACTTTAGCAATGTATATTTTACAGAATGAGAAGGGGCACTGCTCCCAGTACATCTGCCTGTGAAAGGGGGCGAAATTCCACAATTTCACTTCTCTTGCAGCCTGGCTTCACTCAATTGCTCTGCATCTCTTGAGATTTATCTGTTATAACAAATCGCAAATCGAGAGATAACAGTTGGCTACATTCTTGTTTTTTAAAACACCCAGCTTTGCAGGCACACCCCTCTGAGTGAAGGACTTACAGGGCTTCTGAACAAACCCGTGAAGATTATAGCCATTTTTAATCACCATTATTTCTGTCATAAGCTTGCAAGACCATGTACAAAGTACTTTCAGGTGAGGGAACCTATTGCCTCCAGTTGTTCCTGGATTAGAGCTCTCATTATCCCTGATGTCTAAAAATATCTGGAGGGCTGCCTATGGCATAGCTGTCAACTTTCCCTTTTCTTGCGAGGAATCCTATTTGAATAAGGGAATTTCCTTTTAAAAAGGGAAAGTTGACAGCTATGCCATAGGCAGCCCTCCAGATATTTTTAGACATCAGGGATAATGAGAGCTCTAATCCAGGAACAACTGGAGGGCAATAGGTTCCCTCACCTGAAAGTACTTTGTACATGGTCTTGCAAGCTTATGACAGAAATAATGGTGATTAAAAATGGCCTATAATCTTCACGGGTTTGTTCAGAAGCCTTCACTCAGAGGGGTGTGCCTGCAAAGCTGGGTGTTTTAAAAACAAGAATGTAGCCAACTGTTATCTCTCGATTTGCGATTTGTTATAACAGATAAATCTCAAGAGATGCAGAGCAATTGAGTGAAGCCAGGCTGCAAGAGAAGTGAAATTGTGGAATTTCGCCCCCTTTCACAGGCAGATGTACTGGGAGCAGTGCCCCTTCTCATTCTGTAAAATATTACATTGCTAAAGTCTATTCCCTCCAGCAGCAAATGTTGTTTCCCCCTGTGGGGAAACAGTGTTTATCAGAGATGCTTCACTGCCAAACAAACACCAGTTGAGCTCCTTGTTTTTAATTAACAGGTTTAAAATGGGAACTTTAAAAGTGTTGAAATAATGAATTTTCTCCAAAACAGCCAAATGCATAGCTTTGCAATACCTGTGACTTCAACCATCTGAACTGCCAAAAAGAAAGATTTCAGCTAAGTTTTGGGTGACCAGCATTTGTAAACACAAGATTTGGACCTTTGAATGCAATAAATTTCAAAACTGTTTAACTCAGCCATTCTTCATGAGTGTTTTCTGGCTTAGGGTTACATTCAGATCTGGGCTTGTGGCTTGTCTGACTTGAGACAAATCACAAGTTGCAGCCAAATATTAAAGCTAAAAATCAAAGCTGCATCAAGTGTGTTCTATTTGTTTAATTCACTGCTTGTCTGTGATAATTAGAAAATCAAGTCTCCCTACATTAGTCTTTCACTTAGAAACAGAGATTCTGTATTTAATTTTGTGATCATGTGAGTATCCCAATTCCACATCTAAATGTATCTCCTAGCCAATTCCTCACCCTTCCCAGAATTTTGAAGGTGTACGGGATCAAGTGCTTAGAAGAGATGAGCACAACATCTGTCCCTTTACTTATTGATAGCTGTTCAGTTTTCAGAAATACAGTATCTGTATAATCCAATAATCAGACAAGTATCCAGAAAATACTGAGTTGTCACCAGTATTAGGTAAAATATCTGTAATGTGACCATTTTAGTAGTGAAGGTTAACTCCCCGCACCAATTCTTAGTTTCAAGAACAAATTAACATTCCACTGTCAACTAAGGAAAAGAAACAATGATTATAAAAGGGTTTGTGTTTACAGTCTTTATTAGCTAATCAACATCAACATGCAAAAATAAATGCTAAATACAAACTTCTACCATATGGTTTTTTCCAACTACAATGGTTTTATTTGGAGAGTGATAAGGATGTGATTTGCAGCTGTTAAAACTGAACTAATCTCTTGTGTAATGAATACCCTAAAATTACATAATTAATCCTGCAAGGCATCTTCAAAATTTGCCCAACACTTAAGGTTACCAGCTGATCTTTATGTGAGTACATTCTCAAAGTAAGAAATAAGGCAGTAGCACTAATGGTTTGATATTGAATCCTATGCACATAGTAACTAATAAATGAAGAATTTTAACACTATGGTCAACTGGAAGAAGGACAGACATACAAGCAGTGCATTGTGCCTGTAATGTTTTCAGTTACTTCGTATTTATGCAGTCTTCCCAAGATGGTCAATGTGTGGAGGGTTTTTGGAAGAGAATAAACCCTTGCAGTACTTTTCAAAAAACTCCTAACTGATCCAGTTAAATCAGCCTTGTGTTAGTGTTGTCGTCAAGCATCTACTATGGCCCATGGATCATTTCAAAGGCAGAATGGAAGAGGATTTCAAACAAAAGGGTCTTAGCCAATTGCTAACACAAAAAGGAAGCACACAGACCTACATCACACTTTTGACATTGCAAATCTATTTCCAGTTTATGTGTCTCATGCTGACAACCACATTTGAAGGGGAGATGCACGTGTGTGCATGCACACACTTGAGGCCGCAAGGTCGACACACATTCAGAGGCCGTGACTGGCCCCAGTTCCCTGGTGCATGTATCACAGTTTTGCATATTTGGCCCCTTCAAGTTCTTCCACACATGGGCACATATTGGTGATGTTGAAAACAGGTCTGGAAGTGTGAAATGGCCCTTTGAGGTTCACTGTAACTTTTTTTTCTCATGTGAAACTGTCCATTTTTTGAGCTGAGTTTTTGCTGGATGATTATTTGAGAAAAGTCCAATTACTGTAACAAAATCCAAACATTCAATATTTGTTCCCTCCAAGTACAACCTTTTAGTCACACTTCCTCAGTTTCTAAGAGTGTATATTGTTGTTCATTGATCTTTGGTCGCAATAAAAATGCCAACCAATCTGATTCCCACCCCAGCTCTCTTAGCCACACTCAAGATCTCTCTCTACAAGTCATGCCAAAATATATTATGTCAAATTCCAGCGGCACTTCATTGTATGTACGAGGGAATTACATAATGTAGACCTTCTCAGCTTGTGAGAAGTTGAAGACTTCTTTGGTTCTTGGGCAAACTACTTTATCATCTTGACGAACAGAAAGCAAAGACTGAAACAAAAAGAAGAGAGATTAATTATGATAGTCCCAGAGTGAAATAAAGTGTTTATCCATTCTTCAGTTTCTGTTATCTTAACTGCAAAGTTTTAAGAGCTGGCAACAGCTATACACAATCCAAGACTCCACACTGCTATATACACACACACTAGCCAATGTCTGTTCAGCCTTTTTGTAATCCTATTTTGACTGATTTTTTTATTATTATATACAATATTTATATATTGCCTAATAAAGTTTATTCGAGTGGTTTAAAGGTTTAAACCAAGTTAGAGATACGCTAACACAGAATAAAACTAGGAAATGCATAAAACCCATGTAAAAATTTGCAACAAGTTAACATTAGCGTAAGAATCTAAAAAGCAATAAAATATAAATATTAAAAAGCCTGGGAATATTTCTAAAAGGTTCCATTATAGATGTTGTTGTTGTTGTTATTGTTATTATTATTATTTCCAAACAAATTTAACGCCATTATCTGTTTTAGGAAGCCACATACAGTATATCACAATAGTTTGAAACATTTATGGAAAAACACTTACATTGTATCCATACACATATCCATTTGGAAGCATCATGGGAGGATTATTTTCATTCATCACATCTCCTGAAATCTTGCAGACTAGTCGGGAGTTGGCACAATGTGCCATTGGCAGAGGCTGAGCCAGCTTATTTAGGGATTTGCTACAAACAGGGCAGTCAGGGTTTTTGGAACTGCCATCCTCTTTATAACATTGTCTATTTAAAAGTGAGTTAAAGGATAATAGATAAATATTTGAATAATAAACACCGAACAGAGAACTCATTTGTTACTGAAGACAGCTTTTAGGCTTATATGAAGAAAGTGGATCTGCAGGTGCAGATGCTGATTTCAAGGACAACCAGTCTTATTTTTGTATACTTCTGAGCCTCCTAAACCTGTTAAATTTTCAGCTCACTAAAACAGCGGCCAAGACACCTGATGGCTCAGGCTTGCTCAAGTTTTTTTACCAAGCGCGTAAAAAATGCACGAGTCTTTTCTGAATTCTGATATTACAAAAAATTTAAATAAAATCCCAAATTATATCAAGATTAAGAGCCTGTGTGTCATGCAATCTGCATTTTGGAGAACACAAACTATGAAAGATGGCTGCCCTGTTGTTGTTTTTTAAAGTATTCAAGGCATAAACATATGTCTAAAATTTGGACATAAATTGGCCAAACGCAGCTCAAGAAAAAACTGAATTTTTAATTGACTGTGATGCACTGAAGGATACGGTGTTTTTATAGCTGAAAGCCCGGCCTGGAGTGTTATAGTAAAGACAGAGTTGTTCCCCAGCTGATGCAGCCTGTAGTTATCATATCTAAACTGCTGGATTAGCATCCTCCACCGGGCAGGGTCCAGAAGATCCTGTGAGGGGAACACAGAGACACAAAAATGCAAAAGGCAGACTGTGATATTTCAATAGTTTCAAAGTACTGGGAATGTAATTATGTACTGCAACCAGTTGAACCTGGAATTTTTTGTGCATCTCAGTTTTAATACTTTCAAATAGGCCAGCGGGGAATCACAACCGTTCCCAGATGTCAATATCGAGAAGCAGATTAACAGAACATTTTGCCAATAGCAACAAGCAGGTTAAATGCATGTTTGAAATCCTCAATACTTAATAATGGGCATCAATTTAGAGTCAGTAAGCATTGGCGCATCAGTACACTGCAAAAAAAAAGGGAAAAATCCTCTGTCCATCTTTTTAGCTTCATTAAATTGACACATACCTTGTAAGGAGAGATATGAGTATCTGAAGGGAAGGCCAACATTCCCATCACCTGTCGTACCTCGTCCAGTTGATTTCCTTCAGCCTGGCTGAAATGCTTCCTTGCATGTCTGAAATTCAGAACGCAAAATTACTCTGCTTGCATCCTTAGCATCTCAACAGTTGCTTTATGTTCTTTTTAAGAAGTACCAACCCTTACCTGCAAAGAGAAACATTTTTCGAAGCAAATCTTACAACCCCAGGAAGTTTTCTCACTTATCTATGAAAGTACTACATTTCTGAGCCACAAAGTTTATTCCAGAAGAGAATCCAATGAGCCATGATCATCCATCAAAACACAATTTTTGTTGCAAGTCCTGGGGAGTGTCTGATTCAAATATAGTGCTAAACATTGTCAAGAGACTGAGGGGTGTGTGCACCCCTCATCTACAATGTCACCACCACAGCAAGAATGGTGTGGAAACACTTTTGATTTTCATGTAGCAGTGTTAGGGCTGATGAGAACCAACATGTTGTCAAGTCTGCTGTTGCAGAAACAGCAAGAATTGCTGTTGTGGCAACAACCAAGTGCCAGAAGAAGAGTTCTGGCATTTGGAACATCAGCTGGTCCGTTCAATGCAATCATCTCACAACGTCTGCTTTTGATTCTGACCAACACAGCTAGTATGTCACCAGTCTTCTTCCTTTCTGCACCCCTTGGCCTGGGATAAGACTGTGTTGAGTAAGAAAAAACAAAAAATTGCTGAATACAGATACAGGGAGCTCACAACATAGGCACATTTAACTTGCACACATTCAACTTTATTGTCATTTTTTAAAAAAATTAAAAGAGGGCAGAAAGAGGGTGGGTGTCTGGGAAGACAGACTTTGGCAATCCCAACTGCAATTGAACAAAAAGTGATTTGGTTTTTACACACTATCCCTGAGTTGCCTGTATTTTTAAGGCATTAGTTTAGAGACACAACATGTCAGTTTGACAAAACAGTAATGGTGCTATACAGCAGCTCTAAAATGGTCTAAAGAAAAAAAAACTAAGAATACCGAGTTACACTAATACACAGTGAGTCGTTTATCTAACTCCAAAAAGCAGGACTCCCTCAATACAAGGCCTGATAGGTGTTTAGCTAAGGTTATCTGAGCAAATTCATTCTACCTGCTGGCTTGCAGCTAGAGAAGTCACATATTCTAATGGCTCCTCCTAATTGTCTACTGTATTGTGCCTATTCAATCATGCAAACTGAACTCTACACATTCATATCAAAGTTCCAAGGGTTATATAACACCAACAAATGGCAAAGAGGGAACAGTGATGATAGAGACTGGATCAATTCTCAATGGTTCCCACAGTTTACTTTTATTGTATTTAAATCAATCTGCAACTTGAGATACAATTGAGAAGGGAAAAATATTGATCCTCATCAGTTTGAGTAATTTGGGATAGTTAATCACTAGCCCAATGGTGTTCAAGTGTAGTATCTGACACCTTCTTTTGACATCATGTTCTATGATGGAACTTATTTCTACCTCATCCCCTTTACACTATCCTACCATCTACAACACTACTAACACCAACACTGCCCCTAGCAGAAAAATATGATGGCAAGTCTTAACGTATCATGCAGCAAAGGCCTTTCTAGCTGTCTAATATTTCCAGTTTAGGTTTTGGAAAAGTTTAGCTTCTTGGACCATCATCTCTGCTTCCTTAAGGAAGGATTTCTGGAAAGAGATGCGTTGCACTTCAAAGTGGTTGGCAAGAATATGTTTGCTAAGAGTCTCACAAACCTGATCAGGAGTGCTTTAAACTAAATCCTATGGGGAAAGAGGACAATAGTTGGTCGACGGGAACACTTTGTATTGGGGATAATAGCTTCAATGACGCACTCCAGAAACCTGCTAAAGGGCAGGAAACTACAAGGAGGAAGCAGCTGGAGGAATGACTTGTATCTATATTAACACATAGGGTACAGGAACCAAGGAAAACAATTTGGAGCAAATATGGTCTAATAGGCATCACTGAGACCTAGTGGGATGAGACTCATGACTGGAATGTAGAAATTGAGGATTATAACCAGTACAAAATTCTGCACATCCTATTTCCATACCTGACAGCATCCAGTCTCTTGTTCTGTCGAATAAGTTCAATGAACTCCTGAATCCTTAGGCTGAACTCCAGACAGCTCTAAGATTAAAGAAAAGACAGGATCTTAGATGTGGCCACATTTAACCCGTGATCTTAGACATACTTACTTTACATTATGTTACACTGAATCAATAGGAGTTTTGAGTTAATATATTTAGGATTAAGGTGTATGCAGTTCTATTTGTTGGTGTTTATGTCAATAATGATGTGCCTCTAGATAATATAATATAATATAATATAATATAATATAATATAATATAATATAATATAATATAATATAATATAATATAATATAATATAATAATATAGTTTTGAGTTGCATAAAAACAAATCTATTTGCACCTCAGAATTGAATGCTATTAAAAATCCTGTTACTATGACTAAGGTCTGATTTCTAGCCAGTGTTACCTATCCGCATTTTAAATTTGAATTTTGTGCCGTAACTTCCGTACTTTCTGAGAAGCAACAATCAGAAATAGGAGGATCTGCAACTTTCAGTGAGACCTCTTTGAACAGGAATAAGTTACTATTCCACACTACTTAATAAAATTTAAAGAAAATCAAAAGGCATTTGTTCATCGGCCGGGGAGGGGATTAGATGGACTGAGGTCATCCACAGGTTAAATGTATACAGTACTTGGTGATAACAGATCAAATTACTTCGTACTGAAGTTCCCTTAACATTTGTTCATTGTAATGCAAAGAGCTTGTATTAAAACTAACCTTCACTTAAAACTGATCCTAATGTTCTCTTTTTATATACAATCATTACTCAATTGCACTGCAATATTATCCGTGTGCCTAAAGTTTTTAAGAATATCGGTAATTGGGGGCAGGGTGCTTTTTTAAAAGTTTCTTTCAGTTTAAAACTGCAGTCTGCTTACATCAAGGCAGAGTTAAAATACCCTTCCCCAACCTAATGCCCTCCGGATGTTCTGGACTACAACCTGTACCAGCCCCACCTGCTGACTATGCTGTATGGAGCTGATAGGAGTTGCAGTACAAAACATCTGAAGGGCACCAAGTTGCAGAAGGAAGAGTTAAGGAACACATTGCAACGTGTGTAAAAAGGTAAAGGGACCCCTGACCATTGGGTCCAGTCGCGGACGACTCTGGGGTTGCGGCACTCATCTCGCTTTATTGGCCGAGGGAGCCGGCGTACAGCTTCCGGGTCATGTGGCCAGCATGACTAAGCCGCTTCTGGCGAACCAGAGCAGTGCACGGAAACGGCGTTTACCTTCCCACTGGAGTGGTACCTATTTATCTACTTGCACTTTGACGTGCTTTCGAACTGCTAGGTTGGCAGGAGCAGGGACCGAGCAACGGGAGCTCACCCCGTCGCGGGGATTCAAACCGCCGACCTTCTGATCGGCAAGTCCTAGGCTCTGTGGTTTAACCCACAGTGCCACCCGCGTCCCATTTTAGCAACGTGTGTATTTATGCATAAATGCTACAACTTGCACTGCACCAGACATTATCACATGCCTGTACTGCTATGGCAGCTCTCCTCCTTCACACCAGTGTGGCAAGTTACAGTTTCAGGATCACATATCCTGCAATTTTATAGTTAACTGCACTACAGTTAACTGCATACTGCACTATAAAGAGGTCCCCTCCCCCTATGAATTTAAAGGACACTACACATTCATATTCTGCTCTCTTCGGCTTATCTTGTAGTAAACCTTTTTCAATAAAACATTACGTAACGATTGTATGCCACTGAAATCCTATACTGCCAAAGTCGACAGGACCTTGGGCAGTAAGGTTTCTGCATGCAACTAGACTGTACCGAGAATTTGCAAAACAAAGAGCTGGTGTGGCAAAGCAAATGTCGGCACTTACCATGGTAAGTTCCTTCTCTGGTGAGAGAAAGGGGATCCCGTGTGGGTTGTCACTGCCCACCTCTCCACTGGCAGGAAGTCACACTTTTGAGAGGGCACGCCTGGTGGGCAGGGAAACCCCCTCACCAGTTCAATTCGTGCTTAAGCAAGTAACTGTATAGCCAAAAATTAAACAGCTTAACAGGACAGGAAGGAAAAGGAACACAACTTGTTAGGAGAAAGGTACTCAGCTGTCCCGCAGTGGGATATACCACTCTGTTCCTGAGGCCCAGTCCCAAGAAAAAGAAGAGGAGGAGGAGTTTGGATTTGATATCCCGCTTTATCACTACCCGAAGGAGTCTCAAAGTGGCTAACATTCTCCTTTCCCTTCCTCCCCCACAACAAACACTCTGTGAGGTGAGTGAGGCTGAGAGCCTTCAGAGAAGTGTGACTAGCCCAAGGGCACCCAGCAGCTGCATGTGGAGGAGCAGGGAATCGAACCTGGTTCACCAGATTACGAGTCCACTGCTCTTGTAAGGCAGCCCAGGTGAAGAAGAGAAGAATGGAATGGGCTAAAGAATAAGCAAAGGAAAAACTGGGGTGGAGGGAGAGGGAGAGAGAGAAGAGGCCCCTGAACATTGGTGGTGGGGGGCCCCCAAACCCCCGGTCGACCCTCAGCTCTTTGTGTCCAATGGCCTCCCCCCACAGTGGTCACTTGGGAAGACTGGATCCCCTTCCTCCCTACAGAGAAGGAACTTAACACGGCAAGTACCAACATTTACTTTTCTTTTAGTAGAAGGAGGGCATCCTGTGTGGGATGTATCTCAGCAATTACCAGACTGAGTAACAGTGGGTAATGGTGTTCACCACCTACTGAAGCACTCATTTCCCAAAGGAGGCCTTGTGTCCCTTGGATCTGGACTGGAAGGAAACAAACATGAATTCTGACAGGTGGAATTCCACTGTGCACCTGAAGTAGATCCTGATGGGCCTTCACACATCTACAGAGTATCATTCCTTTTCCCTAGCGGACTTGGGCTTTGAGCAGAAGGAAGGGAGGACCACCTCTTGAGACCTGTGGAGGTTGGAGTTAGCCTTTGGGATGAAGGTCTAATCAAAGCGTGGCAGACTCCTTCGGAATAATACACACCGTATTTTTTACTCTATAGACTCACTTTTTCCTTCCTAAAAAGGAAGGGGAAATGTGTGTGCGTCTTATGGAGCGAATGCAGGCTGCGCAGCTATCCCAGAAGCCAGAACAGCAAGAGGGATTGCTGCTTTCACTGCGCAGCGATCCCTCTTGCTGTTCTGGCTTCTGAGATTCAGAATATTTTTTTTCTTGTTTTCCTCCTCCAAAAACTAGGTGCGTCTTGTGGTCTGGTGCGTCTTATAGAGCAAAAAATACGGCAACTCCTTGTGGACAGAAAGGGCTGCAATCTCCGATACCTGCCGGGCTGAGGTGATAGCCGCTAGGAAGAGATCCTTCCAGCTCAGGAACTTCAGAGGTACCATCTGCAGCTGCTCAAAGGGGTGGAGGAGACCAGTGAGCACCTTCAGTACCATATGGAGGTCCTAGGTGGGGAACCTTCATCCAAAGATCCCAGGGCAGTTTTAGCAGCACTGCCAAGAAGCATTTGACCAAGGAGAAGGAACTCAGAGGGGCTCCTGCTGACCTAAACACTGAGCCCAAGGCTGCTACTTGTCTGCCAAAGGTGTTGAGGCAGAGCCCTTGGTCCAGGCTACGATGTCCATTGTCTGCCCTGCCCGGGATCCCAACAACTCTTCTGATGAGTCCTCAGAGAGCTCCATCCTCCTAAGCAGCTCTCCTCCTGGGCAAAAACCCCTTCCGTCGCTTTTCACCCCTTTCTGAAACTTTCTCCCCACCATGGAAGGTCCAGAAGCCTCCAAGGGCTGTAGGCCTGAAAGGCCAAAGAAAAGGGATACCTGAAGGAAGAAGAGGAGAGATCGATGGTGCTAGGAGTGAGTGAAAAAGAGGCAGGCAGAAGAGGAGCAGGAGTAGAAAGATGATCCAGGAAGAAAGCAAACAAAAGATCAAAGGAAAATGCCTTTCAAAATGGTGTTCCCACCTTCTCTCTTTTGCAGTGCTTGGAGCTCCTGGCAAGAGCGACCTTCAGTGGAGCTAGCAGGAAGTTGAATTGACTGGGGGGTGTGCCCTGCCCACCAGGTGTAACCCCTCAAAAATTTGACTTTCTGCCAATGGAGAGGTGGGCGGTGACAACCCACACAGGATCCTTTTCCTCCTCTACAGAGAAAGAACTTATCATGGCAAGTACCAATGTTTGCTTTACACCACACCAGCATGTGGTGGGGCAGAGCCGCCCTGCTAACTTAGCATTGCTACTTTTTACCTGGATGGTGCTGGGACGGAGTGGAGGCTGTGTGTGAAGACCAGCAGCCTCACTGGTAAAACTGCCTTGCCACATTCCCATCCAGGTAAACAACAGGGATGCCGGTACTGGGATCTCGGCCCTGCAGCACCACACACACCACTTCTGGCTAAGACACAGCCATGGATCAAGAGGTACCTGGTTTCAATCATCGTCTCTGCCAAGAACTCCTTAGGTGGCCTTAGGGAGCTGAAGTAGACAGTGGCTTGCCTATCTGCAATGTGTAGATAATGTTGACTTACCTTAGAGGAATGCTGTAAAAACAAGGATTACCTCTGTTAAGTGCACTCAACACTTTTTAAAGCACTATAATTATTTTAAAGCAAGTAAATGTAACTGCATGTGCTTATGCTGCCCAGAAACGAACTTCTACCAAAGACACCTTTCCCCAATATGAAATTACATCTGTTCGCACCCAATTCAATTTTCCTACTATAAAACTTGAGCTTTGCTTATAGAAAACTTCTCAGTAGAATACAAAATTGTAGCTATGTAAGCCCTGTACTTCTCCATATACTTGCCCAAGTTATTTTTACACACAAGATTTATAAAACTTGTTTTGTTAGGTAAAGGTAATTTAGTAAGCATACTTTAAGGTAAAGGTAAAGGTACCCCTGCCCGTACGGGCCAGTCTTGACAGACTCTAGGGTTGTGCGCTCATCTCACTCTATAGGCCGGGAGCCAGCGCTGTCCGCAGACACTTCCGGGTCACGTGGCCAGTGTGACAAAGCTGCATCTGGCGAGCCAGCGCAGCACACGGAACGCCGTTTACCTTCCCACTAGTAAGCGGTCCCTATTTATCTACTTGCACCCGGGGGTGCTTTCGAACTGCTAGGTTGGCAGGCGCTGGGACCGAGCAACGGGAACGCACCCCGCCGCAGGGATTCGAACCACCGACCTTTCGATCAGCAAGTCCTAGGCGCTGAGGCTTTTACCCACAGCGCCACCCGCGTCCCACAAGTATACTTTAATCAACTGGAAACAAATTTTGCCCATGATACAGCTTCACCACATGGGACAACTTCTAAGAATCAAGCTAGATTACATTAAATGCATTTTTAACCAATACATTTCCTGGTGGTAGTGATTATTGTTTATCCATTCACCTCTGCTCATTCAGGCATAATTTTTTTGCAACCTATAAAGGTTACATTAAATTAAAGCATCACCCAGTTTGCATACCTTCATCTTCCTGAGCCTAGATTTGTTATCATGACACCAAGCTAAGCAAGTCATTGTTTCTTGTCTTTCCAAGGATTCTTCTACTTCTTTGGCAGTCAGGAACATCTCAATATTTACCAGATCCTAAACAGAGATAGGAGTGTGGGAGAGAGAAAGAAAAAATGAGACGAGGTAGTTACTCACCAGAGCCAGAGGAATGACACCATATACAGCTTTCGTTAAGATAACTAATAAGCTTTTCAAGATGACCCAAACATTGAGGTTTTTCCTTTTTGTGGGGACAAGGGAGGGATTTGCAGAGCACCAACATAAGGACAGTCAAACTCCTTTTCCTTAATGAAGGAAGATTTTTATCCAAATCCTAGTCAATGTCTATGAAATAAAAAAAATAAAACATTTATACTGGGCAAAATCTGAAGAGCTATTTTAAGTACACTCAAGGGCTTGGGCGTGTCTAGGGAACCTTAGCTTTTTCCTTTGAGGAATAGGCCCCAATAATCTGTCACGAACTGCTTTTTAAAACTTCTTCAGTGTCAAAGAATGTTTGCCATGTACAGTGGTGGGGGGCTGCTGTTCAAGAAACATAGCTAAAGTTCCCTGAACATGTGGAACTAGTTGTGCAGTGCTCTGGTTCCAAGCTTTAAAGTATTTCCTTTTTAAAATAACCTGATTTAAAATACTGGAATTCAATACAAACATACAGAAGTCTATATCCAAACAAAATGAACCCCTGCCTCTCTATCAAACACGATGAGTTAGTCTGCTTTCCTATACAAAAGAACAAACAGAGGCAAAGATGTGTAACTTGAAGTCAAGCACTGTAAATTACACAATACAATGTGCATTTCTTAATGCCAAAAGCATCTTTTCATTGCATGAAAAAATAACCCTGCTTCTGGCAAGTTTGGGGCACTTTACCTTCAAGTCCTGACCTGTGTCTAGAGGGCCATACAAAATCTCAACTCCACAACTGTTCACCAAAGAAGAGAAATTTTGTAAACTAGAAGCATGTGAATCGTAAGATTAAAGACTTTGGATTTTTCTCCAGAGTGTCTTCAGTAGCAGAAGGTTTGAAATAATTAAGCTATAAGATACGACAGGTGCAACAAACAAATTATTAATACAAGTACTGTAATATAGTTACTGCTTAAAGAAAAATTAAAGAAAAACAGTAATGAGGTTTAGAGATCTCTTCTTTGAAAGCACTTTTCAACTCTTCCCCTTCTTTGACCTTGGGGCTGTCGACACTGTATGAGAACTTTTACATATACAGCATATTTTGGAAACTTGTTTGTTTTCTATGCATTTGGATTCCTCTTATGATATTGAAACCAAATTTTTGCATGATTCCTGAGACCAAGAAGCAGGTTTCTGTCTAAGTGGATACAATTGGATTCCATACGGAATCAAGATGGCAGAATGAGCCTTTCAAAGAGGAGCAAAGGAGTGGCAAGGCTGCCTGTAGTCCCATCCCCACCTTTTTAGAGCTGTGAAATCCTGAAAGATTCAAATGGTGTTGCCCCTTCTGACTGATATGCTCTGCATTCCTAGTCAGCAAAGATGACTGTGACCCTACATACTGATGTGGGATAAATTAAAAGAGAGCTATTCTGTGAAAAAGCACCCAAGGCTTGTGAAAAATTTCTGGCACTCTGCACAAGTAACTACTACAATGGCTGTATTTTTTCACTGGAATATCAAAGGATTTATGGTGCAGACCAAAGATCCAACAGGTTCTGGAAAAGGAGGGACTATGTTATTAACCAAAATCAAGACCTTGTACCAATCACTCAATATTCTCAGTGGAGAGGTTACGTTAAGTAATTTGTTTGAATGTTGAATTTGTAAGCGTGTACAGTGGTGCCCCGCAAGACGAATGCCTCGCAAGACGAAAAACTCGCTAGACGAAAGGGTTTTCCGATTTTTGAGTCGTTCCGCAAGGCGAATTTCCCTATGGGCTTGCTTCGTAAGACGAAACGTCTTGCGAGTTCTTGCGAGTTTGTTTCCTTTTTCTTAAAGCCGCTAAGCCGCTAATAGCTGCTAAGCCGCTAATAGCTGCTAATAGCCGTGCTTCGCAAGACGAAAAAACCGCAAGACGAAGAGACTCGCGGAACGGATTAATTTCGTCTTGCGAGGCACCACTGTATCTGGAGACAATGGATAAAACTGACACCATTAGATGTACTGCTGGATAAGTGTTGAATGGATATTGTATTTGTATAAAAACCATTAAAAATTTGTTTAAAAGAAAAGGAAGAAAGAGCTTTTGGGGCATAAGATTTGAAGATGAATAGTGTGAATACTTAAAACACAGTGTTCATGGAATTGTTTCCATGGCAAATAATGGTCCAAACACAAACGGATCCCAATTCTTCATCACCTATGACAAACAGTCACACCTGGACAAGAAATACACTACTTGGGAAGGTAATCAATGGCTTGGATGAGCTGGAGAAATTGCCAGTGAGCGAGAATACATTCCACCCCCTTAATGACATAATGTTAAAGATGTTACAATTCATGCTAATTCTTCTGCTCAATAAGTAAAAATGCCAACGCAGATTTCTGAAGGAGTGGCTTGAAAAACTGCTGGTGAGTCTTTGAAGACAGATGGAGCTTGTGCATTCTCTCTTGGGATTATGGACTTCCCAAGCTTTTCAAAGTTCAACATTTCACAGGACAAAAGGCCACTTTTTGATGTGTGAAATTGTACACAGTTAAGAAAGCTGGGTTCACTTTTTTTTAAAAAAGGGGGGGGGAGAAAAAAGATGAGCCTTTCAAAACTGCAGATTCTTTTTGGTTTCTTAGAATTCCCAATGCCCAAGTAAGAAGCTGCTACTATTTTATATCTGATACATAGTCAGATACAGCATCGGTACTTAAAATGGTATATGAACTGCAGTTTTAAGCAGCAAGCCAGGAAAATGTACAATTTCTCTCCAGTATAAAACCTTCCTGTATTTGGAAACTGAAGGACAGAGAGGAAGACGCAAGCTTAGTGCTCTCTTTGATATACTATAGTCTTCCATTTGTTGGTTATGTTTGGTTTTTGATAGCTGACCCCATCAGGCATAGGGTCAAATACGGAGTGAAGAATGGGGGAAGAGAAGAAGAGGCATAATCGCAGGATTGCAGAATTGGAAGCAACCCTGTGGGTCATCTAGTCCAACCCCCAGCAATACAGGAATAACACAAGGCAGTGAACATAGAGAGTTTGCTTCCGCCTTGTGGCTTACCATGCTTTACCATGCCTGACCGTGACAGGAAGCTGCCTCCATAACATCACCCCCTCCCCCAAAATCAGGATCTGGTCTCCCAGCCTTAAAGACTCAGCAGGCACCCCAGCACTGAAGAATTGCCTTTGAGGTCTCCACGACAACCTTTCATTTCTCAAGGAAAGTGATGTCTTCCAGATAAGCAGTAGTAATAACAATCTAATAACTGGAAGTAGCCGGGGGGGGGGGGGGAGCAGATAGCTATCTAGATTCCAGACAGTACCAAATAAAGCAGCCTTTTGTACTTCATCACAGCAAATACCAACCTCAATACCACTTTGCCTGGCCAGCTTTACAGCTGTATTGTAATAGCCACATCGCAAGAGATGCTCCACCATCATACGATCCATGCGTTTTTTCTTCCACATGTTAGCAGCAGCTGGTTGGTCACTGCTGTGCTCCTTGAGATGCTCAATCCTGCGCTTGCATAGTTTTGCACTCTCGTCTTCAGCCTGGATTGATTCCACTGCCTATATCAAGAAACCCCTCATTCGGTCAGAAGTTACACTGAACAGGTCTGTATTCCACATTTCACATTTTCTACCATGTAAATGTAGAAAAAGATATACAACCTACTAAAAAATACAACATCAAATACAACACCCTCACCCCACCCTGGCAACTGTTAGAATTCCTGCTCCATGATTGCAGTCATGGGATTTTTGTCTACCACATGACGGTATATGTTTTTGACTCCACAGAGTGGGAAGTGATGGAGACAGGATGTTTGTGTTGCTGTGTTCCGTGAAGTGGGACTATTGTCCTTTGTTCTTTTTCTCTTTGCTGTCTGATGCTCGAGAGAGAGAGGGAGCCATGTTGCAGTGCTCCGTGTGCGTTTATATGTAAATAAAGTAGATTAGCCAAAATGCTGAGTTGCTGAGGTCTGTTACGCAAGCTGCGAAGACTCTGCGGATCCCTAAGTGTGCCGATGTCTGTTGGCATTGGTCGCTGTGGTGTTCGGGCAGGAGAAAGCTTCTGAAGCTCCCGAACGATCGACCAGGAGAGAGAGAACATGCCAGTCGGGCATGTGTCTCTGCCAGGGCCGTACTCGAGAGTAAGACGAGCTCCTGACAGCAACAGTCAAGTCACAGTCTTAATACATGGCTGAAACATATACTATTCTACCCAGGACTATGGGGGACACACCAACAGCCATTATTACCATCTACCACTTATTTGTTAACATTTTTGTAGCTAATGGGAGATACGGGAGGAATCAACTGTCATACCATGAACGTGCAACTGTTTAACAAAGGAAGCGGAGGCTTCTGACAAAGGGCAGAACATGACTTTCCAGTAACACACTGTGCTTATTTTGCAGTCACCATACACGTATAGTTAAAATATTGGTGGGACCAGAACCTCGTTAAATGTTCCCATCAAAAATTTATAACCCAAATCTAATGCAAAGGTAGACACCTCTCACTTAAATCAATGGGATTAACTACATCCACAATTGTGCTGAATTATGGTCCAGGACCTGTGCAACACTATGTACAGTCGACTCACAATCTGCACATATTTACCGTATTTTTCGCTCTATAACACGCACCAGACCATAACACGCACGTAGTTTTTAGAGGAGGAAAACAAGGAAAAAAATATTCTAAACGAAATAGTGGCTATATGATTTTTGTGGTTCATGCTGTGGCCACAGACATGTGATCTGATAGTGAGTTTGGAGTAGCCCAATGCAAAAATCCTGAGGATCCATGTGGATCCATGCTTTGTAACCATGGAGGGAGGGAAGGGGAACCATGGATCCTCTGCTCATGACTGCAGCAGATCCCCCCCGCCACCCGCAGGCATTCGCTCCATAACATGCACAGACATTTCCCCTTACTTTCTAGGAGGAAAAAAGTGAGTGTTATGGTGCAAAAAATACGGTAACTTGCACAACTGCAACTTCAGTGCTTCGTGGCCAACCAGCTGATATTGCACAAATTAAGCACACGGAAGGACGAGAGCTTAAAAGCTCTCAGGCTTGCATACTGGGTTCTGGGAAGGTATCACACGGGCTCTGGAAGGCTCCTGCAAGACCTAGCAGGAGCCCCCCAGAGCCTGGTAAGCAGGCAGAAGAGCTTAAAATCATAAAAGCTCTCCACCTTGCTGGGGTGGGGGTAAGCAAAGCCAATACATGATTTTGGTTTTATGTGCAAAAAGGATTTGCATTTTTCCAACCTGGTTTACTCCTCATTTTTTCTGCATGTTCCTTCTACGTTGAGTTCCGTGTTAGGTCATTTGGGGGCTGAAGAATATTAACCTTTTTAAACGAACATTTAGAAGTTAAGTTTTCATCAAAAACAAATCTGTAGCTTCCTAGACCTTTTAAAAGATGACACCTCTTAGTAAGTCCTTGTGTTTATGATGTAATCTCTTTCTTGGCATAGCTCCTAAAGAACAGAAGAGTAGCCTGCAGGATCAGGCCAATGGCCCATCTAATCCAGCATCCTGTTCTCACAGTGGCCAACCAGACGTCTTATCCTCCCATGGTTTCCAGCAACTGGCATTCAGAAACTTTGCTGCCTCTGACTGTAGAGGCAGAGCATCGCCATTGCAGCTTGTGGCAACTGAGAGCCCTCTGCTTCTCCACGAATTTGTCTAATCCTCTTTTAAAGCCACCCAACTTACCTTTCTTTTCAGAACACTGAGTTTTTCAACTACTCCATCAAGGAGACTAACCACAGAATCCACAGCTGGGCAGCTGCTCAGCGTCTTCTCCAGCTCTGCTACAACCATAGTCACGTGGCTGGTCTCTCGGTCAATGTTTTTCTGAGCAGCTCGGAAACGTTTGTTCAGCGTTTCGTACGGCACCTTTAAGAAGAAGAAAAATTAAAACAGAGTAAACAGTGTTTACATCAAAACTCTTGTGCTTTCTATTTCTATTTAGGAAGACAGGAAGCAGCCTTATATTGAGTCACACCATTGGCCCACTGAGCTCATGACACCAGCCTTTGCCCAATGTACAGCACATACTCCAAGCTGGAGAAGCCTGGTCTCCACTGATGGACAACAACTTTCCATAGAATTGAAGGTGTGTTTTCCAGTCCTACTTGGAGATGTTTACTGTATCTTATGTGGAAAACTCTCAATAAAATTTTTAAAATAATATATTTTTTAAAAACCCAGTTGGCTCTCCCTCCATAAAGATGTTCTAATCACTGTATCTCTAGCTGCAGGTCTCACTCAATATGTCAAAGTACTTAAAGCACTCAGGCATTTGATATCTTCTATGTAGTATCCTTTGCTGGATTAGTCTTGATCAAGTATCTAATGAAGCAGATATAAATGTCTGTAAAACTGCCTTCCAATCCAGAAGCTGCAATCTGAGTTTAAATTTTGTGTTCCACTTACTTCTGATAGAGTCTAAATTAGGTGTTTATATTCCTCACTCAGCACATGAAATGCTAACATCTATGAAGACTCCTTGTGAAAACCACAGTGCAGGCCTACTGCAGCACGTCAAGTGGGTCTACCACAGTGAGCACACATCTGGACCAGATTTTGCTTCAAGCTATATGCATTGCTATGTTGCCTCGGGGGCAGGAATTGAATTCCTCCCAAAAGGCTATAATGCTATAAATGCTTTAAATTTATTGCTTTCACTCAGAATTTATGGGAGATTTACAATAACTTTATCTAAACATCCACAGGAATGGTTTGCTTGCTAGTTATACATGAAATGCCCCAAATGATTAAACGGGCATGAGCATAAGAGTCAAAATGAAGTTGGACCACAATCAACATCTAGGCTTGTACAGCAGCTTTTGTATGAGCATATTGTGCAGGGCACCTTAAATGCTTAGAGCCTGGAGCTACTTAGCAGGGATACTAAAAAATAGAGACTAGGTAGATAAAACATAGGTATTGCCCTTATGACCCAACTATGATATATTAGAACAAAAGATGTGATAATTTTATCAGAATTTGGAATCCTCTTATTTAATAGTGTTTGAAAATAAATTCAGTGCTCTTTATTCAAAGTTTTGATTCAAATTATAGGTAACTGCAACTATAAAACCACAATTAAACAGTACATTTTTACACTTAATATATTTACATTTAATATATCTTTTAAATGTATGCATTGATAGAAAACTAATAAACTTCCCTTCCATTCATATATGAAAAACAATACAGACCATTCTTTATTTGCTTCCTGAAATCCAATACACTCTAAAGAATTCTTTGTATTTGTCTTGACCTTGTCACTCAATAATCCCAGCCTTCAGAAATTTGTCTAGCTGAAGAGCAGTATGAACTACGCAAACAATTATGCTAGTACAGAAGTGCCAGCAAATACCTTTTCCCCCAACTGTTATAAAACACAGAGAAGCCTGTAGATATAACACAGCAAACGTAAGAAAACCTAACCCCTCCCTTCTTATGCTGGTCTACGACCGCAATAAAGTGTTGTTGTTGTAACCAAGTATTTGCCTATATAATTAACTTTTAGCCAGATTTTTAAATAGTGCTTCAGATAAGCACCATTATATATTGAGGAGGAAATGGGATGGGATGGCACAGAGACGCCATGTCCCTTCAGGGCATCAGCTGGCCGTGCATTCGGCCTCTGCGTGAAAGGAACCCTACACATGCACAATGTTGTCACAGAGCTCCCCCCCTTCATAGACACAAGGCCATGGGAGAGGGGAATGGCTAGTGGGAGCATGAAGAATGGCTTATGAGCACAATCTCACTATTCCTCATATGTTCACCCACTGCACAAGGTCACCCATCTAAATATCCCTATTATTCTTTTCAGAGTGGATTAAAATACCATAATACCACTGCTGAGCAAAAAAATGGGAGAGAGGATTTTCAACACAAACCTCTAAGCTGTTCCAACTGTCTTACAATCCACCTTAGTGCAAATCCCAGAGGATTCAAAAATACTCCACATGCCAAGACAACCGACAGCAAGTAGCACCATCGCTATTTTCCCAGTGCAATGATTTTTGCATCACAATGCAATTGTTTCATATCAATGGGTGTAGCTGAGCCTCTCTCTATCTGCTGTTAAGACAAGACCTCACACAGGCTGGGCAGAACCTGTGCACCCTTAAAATGCTTCTGTCAACATGAGTAGAGGTTAAACTACAGGGAGCCCACTGAGTAGCATATGCAATCTGAAGGCAGTGGGATCTGGACAGAGAGAATGGACTATGCTGCCATGGGAAATGAGGTAATAGGATCACACAATGAATAGGATCAGCCCTGCAAGCTGTTTTAGTTATTTCTTAACCACCCTTCATCAGAGGATTATACTGCAGTGCACACAGCGTTCAAAACTCCCATTGTTCTAGGCGCGTTTTGCGACAGGGAATTTTATAAATGCGAGCAGTTTCTGAGCTCTGGGCGCAGTACAGCACCGAAGATTTCAGACTGAAATTGCCACTGTGACTCAGAAGTAAATCCCAACCAAGTTCAATGGGGCTTCCTCCCAAGTAAAACGTGCATGGATTGGGAACCTGAACACTTTCTTTTCTTTTAAACCCAACATGCTTCGTTTAGGTTTTAGTTGCCTTGTTTAATGTACTTTTAATGTATGGTGTGCTTTTAATTTGAAATATACTAGCCAGTTAGTTATGATGGTCTAAGTAGTGCATGTTAAAGTGTTATCTACCTCAGTCACATAGTGATACTTAAAATCCAAACAAAGTTTGGAGTGGGATCATTGAAAGGCCCTTAAGTCTTAAGTTTACGAACTGGACACTCAAGGTGGGTGTCTCTGCCATTAGTTGCACAGGCCTTTAATTTGTGTTAATTGTGGTGCCAAAAAGATATGTTTATACGCAGTGCTTTTTTTCTGGGGGGACGTGGGGAATGCATACCCTTAACATTTGGCCTCATTGAGGGGCAGTATTTCAATATGAGTGGGAAAATGAGAGTACCCCTAAACGTTTTTTAAGGGAAAAAAGCACTGTTTATATGAAGGAAAGGGGGTGTGAGGAGAATCGAGGGCTTCTCTGCTGAGTGGAAGGAAAGGAGGGTCTTTTTCTGCCTCCCCACTTCCAGCCACTCTCTGAAGGCTGCAGAAGGGACCCCCTTAAGAATATGGGGGGGGGCAGAGGAAGCATAACTTTGTTTTTTGAAGTCTTCAGATGAGGACTAGACCATGTGAAAAATGAACATAGTATTTTAGCTGCAGTTCATTCATTTTCAGCTTAGTATTCTTGTTATTAAAAAGGGTGCCTAGACATTCCATTGTTGCACCCATATCCTAGGTTTAAGGTGCCATTTAGCTCCTAGCTTTCATATCTCAGTTTCTAAACCTGAGTGCACAGTATGAGAAAAAATATTCACACAACATACAAATACAATTATTAAAGTGCAGAGGATTCCCCTGCCATAAGGATGGACATTAACAGTTCAAATAGTTTTAAAATATTGACATTATAGGAACAAAGATAAAAAAATATATAATATACACACCCTGAATAAATTTTCTAGCTGTTACTGCTAAATTTCATTTTTAAAAAGCATAACAAATGTTATTACCTATTTATTCAGTCATTCTCCAAGAAGTTCAGAACAACACACATAGTTGTCTGAGTGATTTTATACTAGCAGCATGGTGAGAATGAGAACATGACTGCCCCAACATTACCTAATGAGTTTATTGTCAAACAAGGATTCGAATTTGGGTCTCCTTGGTCCTAGACTTGGTTCATTCAACTATACCAGGGAATGAAAATCTGTGGCACCCAGGATACTGCTCAGCAACATCTGGAAGGCCACAGATTGTCCACCCATGAACACATCTTTGCCACTGATAATGTAAAGGGGGTGGAGAAGAGATGAAGAAGGCAATTGATTACTCAACTTCCAACAACTGAGTGAGATGGGAATCAGACAAAACTTAACATCTGGATGGGGTGGTGCCACTCCAGAGCAGTACTACAAAGTTGATGGGATATAGGCAGCACTAATTTACCATATTTTTTGCTCTATAAGACTCACTTTCTCTCTCCTAAAAAGTAAGGGGAAATGTGTGTGCGTCTTATGGAGCGAATGCAGGCTGCGCAGCTATCCCAGAAGCCAGAACAGCAAGAGGGATTGCTGCTTTCACTGTGCAGCGGATCGATCCCTCTTACTGTTCTGGCTCCTGAGATTCAGAATATTTTTTTTCTTGTTTTCCTCCTCCAAAAACTGGATGCGTCTTGTGGTCTGGTGCGTCTTATAGAGCGAAAAATACGGTAATTGTATTTCATTATTTTACATGTAAGCTGGCTTCCAGAGCTTACATGTAAAGACACGCTTGATCAAATAAATGTAGATCCAGCGTTCTACCCATAAACCTGCACCAAAAGACCCCCTCATGAAGCAAAATATCTGGTAATAAAACTGAATTTCCTTTGATTAATCCTTTTTTACATAAAAAAAATCCTTAAAATGTCATCACAAATATTGCCATTATCAAAGATAAAGTAAAACCTATACATAAAATAAGCAAGAAAGGGAAATCTACAAAGACAATAAAATCAGTGTTATATATGTAAGTAAATAAAATTACAGACCAAGTATGACTAATGCTCCAAGAATTCATGCGACTTCTATTAAGAAGAGAGATTGCTGGGTACCAGCTTGAGGGAGTGAAATGACCTACAATGTTTTGCTTCCCTCCACACAACTGGTTTGTCCGAAGGGAACGGTATTGTATTCCTTTCATTGCTTTCTTCAAACCACTAGGCCTGATTGTCCACCACCATTTTCTTAATTTCTGCTCCAGATAGACAGATCAAACTAAGTTTCTAGACATATGTAACGTTTTTAAATTTCAATATATCATTACCACTAAACCTTTTACATTT